GGAGACGTTACTCCCAACTAACACGGTAACGGATCTGACACAACAACCTACTCCACCTAACCCGTCAGGATTCCAATATATAAAGACTTCACCCCCCAGGGGCGAATGTATGTTTTTATGCGTAATCTTTGTTCTCTAGCTCTCAAACTCACTATTCATCATCTTCAAGCTCTCTACTACAACTATTGTGTGCTAACTTATTCATCAGAGTGTCCCCGTCGGGTCAGCCGCCCCGGGATCTCTGACTCCTCTCTTGTAGGTCACCCCAKTTTTCGTCGTTGCTAGCAGGCAAATCATATCCAGTAGGAAGCAGCCGGATTACGCCACATCAGGTAATATTTATTATAATAATTTTTAATATTGTTTCTTTATTGAATTATATATATAAATAAAAGTTTTCTTATATGGGGTCAAATTGGACATTTGACATTTTTCAGAATTCAAAATTCAGAATTCAGAACAATATTCTCTATATTCAGATTTCAGAGGAAAGAAAAGTTCACCAATACCAATATACCTCTTAATGTAGTTATTGCACTTTTAGATATCAGATGTCAGAGCAAACAAACAAGCCCTCAGTCTCAGGCTCTGAGCCCCTTCCAAACCCTATCCACCCCCATTGGTCGTAGTTGTGGGATCCATGGCCTGGGTGATGTCAGAAGTTCAGAACAATAGAGGACGTCCCTCCCATAGAAGTGGTTGTGGGTTCCCCACATATTGCATGATAAAATGGATGTTGGTGAAGATTATTGTTTTGGTGGACTGTGACGTAATGTTGATTGTCCAGACAAAGATGTGGCTGCAAATTGGGCCGGGTTAGATGGGTTAATGTCAACCCTAACCCAACCCGAGTTTGAGAAAAATAATCTTTTTGTTTCTTAAGTTGGATTGGGATCGAGGTTGGTATGAGTTGGTTCATTTACACACTTATTCCCACCCTTATTTACACATGTTTTTTTTTTTGTAAATATTTAACCTTCCACTTGCAGGGGCCTCTCCGCTAGTATGATAATTAAACTGTTTTTGGAACACTTATAATTTCCCATTGTTCAATAAAATTGTGATTCATTGCATTATAAATGGCTTGGCTCCTTGATCATATAAATCTTTTGGTCTAAGCACTAAGCAATCCTTGTGTGGATCACTGGATCCAATCAATGGTAGGTCCAAGTCCCTATTGATAGGCATAAAGAGCCTAGGAATCTTGTTTAATGAATATAATTTTTGTTATTGATAAAAAAATAGCTTAAGGGTTAGGGAGCATAGAGATCATATATCCAAGCTTAAGCTTCTCTCTTGGTTGTGGTTGGTAATGTATTCAATTTATGAAGCTTTTGAACATTAGATATCAATCTTTTTCATTGATCATTTGCCCTAGATTCTATAAAAAAAAAAAATCCCCACCCCTCCCTAGTCTAGATTCCACACTTTTCAGCATGATTTTAAGAAGCTTGTTTGACAATGCAAATATGACAACATTAAGGGGGTATTCACCAATATGCCTGCCATTGTTTTTTAAAACAAGAGCAAATTCCATCCTAGTAAAATATTGTTGACATGGACAGTGTTTTGTTTTAAAAAACAAAATTTTGCATATTGGCAAGGAATTCGAATCTGCTTCTAACAAAACAAGTCCCAACACGCTTTCAACATGATTTATAGTCGCACATCTCAAACATGTTTTGCACTCATTGATGAAATCATAAGAAACATGTTTGAAATGCATAACTATAAAATCATGTTGAAAGCGTGTTGGAACATGTTTTTGTTGAGAGCATATTTGAGACTCATTGGTGAATATCTCCTAAATTTGACCAAGGATACATCTTGCTCAAAATTATTTGGCAAAATCTTATTTGTTGCACTTAATGATGAATTGCAAAACATTCATGGCTGAATTGAGTAATCCTTCCATATAATTCATAATTTTTTCCCACAAAGACACACCCTTAAATCATGGAAGATGACAATTAAAATTCAGATTTAGATGGATACCAATACATCTCAACAAAAAACATAACCCTCATTTTCAGCTGTATAGAGGGATGACATTGCCAATACAGATATCCATCTCATAGTCAAACCCATATGAATTGCGCATCATCCATATCTACTTCATCTCTTATCCTGTCTCACATTGAACAAAATCTGCCAGTCCCATAAGTAGTATCTGTTAAAATTCACTGGTCACTATATCTCTTTAAATAAAGCCTAGAAATCTTTTGGATTTCGGATCTAACTGTTAATAGAATTCTATGGACATCGTTGTTAACATTATACGGTGCAGCCATCCATGTTACATCCTTTAACGTGTAAAATTAACAGGACTGTTTAATTTTTTTTTTGCTCCGTTACAAATTTCCATTGTTTTTTAATGATAAGGCTACACCCTTGTTTCCAAAACTGGACTGGACGGTTGAATCGAGAAAACCGGGAGCTAGTCACTTGGTCGGTTTTGTTTCACCCAAAAATCGTTGATTTGATCAACGAACCACTGACCTGGGCAGTTAAAATGTGAACCTGGACAACAGTTTTTGGTTGTTTTTGTTTATTTTTTTTCGTCCGAGCGGGTCATCTGACCTGAAAATCAGACCTCAAAACGGTTTCCTGTCCGGTCTGATTTTAAAAACCTTGGCTACACCTCTTGTTTTGTTTTTTGGAATGTTGAATGAACTAGTTTTAACATTCATTGCAAAAAAGTGGAAATATCCACTTCTAAGTATGGAGCAAAATAAAGCTATATTAGATGTAGACATATTTGATTGAAAGCTAGGGATGACAATTTCTACCCTACTCAATGGGTATTTGTCAAGTGGGGCTTCTTTTTTTGTTTGAAAAATAGACTTTGGGGTAAGGACATGTTTTGGAATTCTATAACCATTGTATAGGTAAGGTATGATATTAGACAAAACTCGATCCTCCTCAACCTACATAATAAATTTATTAAAATACCCTAGTGTTTATAATTAAATTACCAATATACTAGGAGTCTCATGCTTAAATATTATGTATTGAATTTAATAATATTTTGAATCTCATGTGAAGGATAATTAATAATTTATGTATTATTTACATGTTTTAAATTAAATAATTGAAAATTTTGATGATTGTAYATGCTATTTTGCTTGTTTATTACTTAAATTGGATGCTAACCTAACAAGCCCTACGTTTATATGTGGGGAGTAGAGCTTTTAATAGACCAGGCTTGAACTTTTACCAAAATTTGAATGGGCCTGGCCTAAAGCCCGAGCCCGATGTAATGTAAAATCAGGCCTGAAGCACAGCCCATGAACAGGCCTAATCACCCCTTTGCATTAGAGATACACAATGGCACCATATATAAAGTCTTTAACGGCAAATCCAAACTACATCAATACAGGGGCGCACTACTTTTGGATGGACCGTGTAGGAAAAAGCCGTCCAGAAGGAAACCCCATTTTGTGCTAAAGTCATATCCTAATCCAAACTATCCAAGGCATAGACGAGTCAATAAAGGTTGTCAAATTTTTCATYATCTTTTTTGCCCTTTTTGACTTAAAAGCTTCCTCTCTACACCCCCCTTCACTCCATCAATTGTTCAACCATATATTTTCCAACTTTTTCTTCACCCCACAAAGCCACCGAGTACCCGCCTTACCCAATACACCCCCATTAAAGCAAAGGAATCCTATCCACGTTGCACAATTCAGCATAATGCAGTAGAATCACCTCTCACATCCATCTGATCGGAATAGTTTCCGAGGATGAAATTGATACGAGTACGATATTGGAATAGGATAGGAAGTAGGGAGTCATTTGAGAAGCCCACCTAATAACGGAGATGAGTAAGGAAGACGAGTAGTGTCGTCTCGCGTGGGTTGTGAGTTGTGACATCTAACTGCCGACTCGTTCCGATATACGACCGCCCTCCACTTACTCCGTCACGACTCACGCGACTGGCCACCCTCGATTTAAGTAAAGTCCGCCGGCCGCCGTCCCTCTCTCTCTCTCTCTACTTTCTGTTTCTTTCGTTTCTCTCAAGTGGGACTGAATCTATAAATACAAGTGTAAAGAGACTTAAATTTCTCTTTCTTCTTCTTCCTCTTCTTCTTCTCTCTCTCGGCGTTATTGATGCGTCCCTGCTTGAATCCGAGCAACAACGCTAGCCTGAGAATCATTTCCGCCTCTTTGTTCAGATTTGGTCGCTTGGATCCTCTTCCATCCTTGTTCCGATCTTCTTCTGGTATTCGATTCCCGCGTAAGCACTGTTCGAGCTCTGTTGATTTGAATCGGACGACATTCACGACGACGACGGCGAAGATGGGTGTGGTGGCAGCCACTGATGGAGAAGGGATAGCGAGGCGATTCTGGATCAAATTCAGGAGGGAATCGGTGTTCGCGATGTACACTCCTTTCGTCATCTGCTTGGCGTCTGGCAAGTTGGAATTGGAGACGTTCCGCCATTATATCGCTCAAGACGTGCATTTCCTTAGGGCTTTTGCGCAGGCGTGAGTTTATAAAGGATTTCTTTCGTAATCTTTTTTCCCGGTTCCGGGTTCTTATTTAGGGTTTAATGCATGGTGGTTTGTATGGAYCTTGATCGATCGTTGGTTTGGTGTTAGCTATGCATTGGCGGAAGAGTGTGCGGACGATGATGAAGACAAATCTGCGATCTGCAAATTGAGGAAATCCGTCATGGAGGAGCTTAAAATGCACGATTCTTTTGTTCGAGTAAGCTTACTGATTTTTTTTCTTTTTTCTTTTATTCTACTTTCATGCGTTTATTTTAAAGCATTTGCATCCGTGTTTGTTTACTCTTGCAACATTTCTCCACTAGAATGAAAGAATCAAAGGAAATGGAAAATTCCGGCCGTGATGATTCTAACTTGTTGCATCATATTGAAGAGTAGGATCAATAATCCAAATTCCTTTTATGGTAGGACATATCGGAAATCTAATTGATTAGCACGCGTTAATTTATCTTAATGGATTTGGAACTATTGGGGCTTGGAAAGGGACCAAATCCGTTTGCGTCCATAGGTTAACTATTTGACAATTTCCGACTCTGGTTGAAATAACATCTACAAAAGCCGACAATTCGGTTATCATAGGTCTTGTTCTTTTTTTCCTCCTTAAAATTAATTATACATTTAGATGTTGAAATCTGTATGTAGAGATCGAACTACACTTTTTGATATTAACGCCAAATTAGATGCAATTAAGTGAAGAAAAGTAGGCCTGTATGCCCAGAGGAAATTTCAGATTGTGGAAGGTTCTAATTTTATTGGCGGAATCACGAGAACTTATATTCAATCATATGAATGGGAAGTAATCATTTATTCAGATAAACATGTGTGAACAGTCATTAAGCTCATAATAGAGGAAAATACAGTTTATCATTAGATTGCATTTTTCCTTTTAGATGAAGAAGAAATTATTGGGAGGAAAAAAGAAAGTTGAGCAATTAATATAGTTGCATTGTTAACAATTACAAAGGGATTATACTTTGTGTAATAGGTGTTCTAAATTAGGGCAGATGAAAGCTTGCTTATTTTCCACTTAGCAGTTTGATTTGATGAATTTGAAAAGATGTAGTGCAAGGTTGTGAGTTACATACTCATACTGTGCTAATAAACTTCTTATTGTTTGTTATTTAGCAATACTTGCCTATCTTTTTTTTTTTTTTTTGAGAAAAGGTAATGTAATTTTTGTTGATAGAAAAAACTAGTACAAAGGCCCCCCAACTAAACACCTTAGATGGGGAAACAACCCAAACATAACAAAATTACAGATGGCATAGGCTTCTACAATTCAGCCTAGTCCCCAACTCAGCAGTCTGGATTCCCTTTGAAGCTGAAACCCAAAAATTCAGCYTTCCAAAAGAAATAGATATCATTTCTTCCGGATCCTTATAGATATTTTGAAATAGTCTTTTGTTCCTTTCTGCCCAAATGGTGCTGATGACTGCAGCCAGAATGGACATCCACAGACATCCACACAACTGAAGCAAGCTTTGATAAACCCCGTAATCCCCAACTCCACAACATCTCCTTCACCGAAGCTGGCATTGACCAGGCAAGACCCACCGAACCAAGGAAATGATTCCACATCCTAGTTGAAATTGAGCAGTGTAGAAACAGATGACTGCTATCTTCCACTCCTTGACCACATAACACACACCTCTGGTCCTGGATGTGAACCCCTCTTTTACATAGGTGGGCTTTAGTTAAACACCTGTCTAGAACTGCAGCCCACACTAGAGCATTGATTTTTGAGGGAGAGGTTGGATTCCAGATTCTGGAAGCAGGCATTATCTTCAGAAGTACTCATTGTCATGTGAGTGGCAAATGACTTGACTGAAAAGAGGCCATCTGTACTCCAAGTCCAGGACCAGCTGTCTTCTTTGAGCAGATTTAGGGGTTGAAGGGAGAGCAGTTCGAGTTTGTGGCTGTTAAAGAACATTTCAGACACCATATGTTGTTCTTGGACACCCATAAGCACTCAAGGGTTTGTGGCTGTTGTTAAAATTTATCTTACAGATTCTTCAAACTTATTATGGTGTGAACTCAAAGTAGCAGTTCCCAAAAAAAGAGCTGTATGGAATCCTGTTTGGGTATCTCAATTATGATTTATGAATCATGAAGCAACATATAATATTAACAATGATTTTTCTGATAAAATCTTATAATTTGACAGAAAATATGGTTCTTGATAGAGCACAATGGCATGACAGGAATATTTGTAGCCTATATAGTTGGGAATTGGGATTAAGGCCAAGGTGGCAGGAGCCTCTTAAAATTTAGGCTAGTTCTTGCTACCCAAGTTGCACCCATTGCCCCATCCTTCTACTCATTTTGATGTGGTTTTGAAATAGTGTGAAGTTTTGGAAGAATTTTGGTGGAGATATTCCATTCACACAATTGACCTCGGTGGCAACTAGTGGTGCAATTTGGGTTAAATTGAGTTGGAAATTTGTTGAATTTCAATTGACCCAGACCCTAACCCAAGCTCGATGCAGTTGGAATTCTTAAAATCAGGCAAAAACCGACTTGCATCCCTACTGGGAACCTTATCATCTGGTCATCTTTGATTTGACACTTTCTGTCATGAAGTTGTTCTGATGTCACTAGATTTTTGCTTAGGTTTTATATATTTTTTCTTTGTTAACAAGAAAAAAAAAGAAAGAAAAGTTTGGAACATCTCATGTACAATTGATTCTGTTTGTCATTCAATCTGTGACAATTGATTTTGATCTGGGTATGCTGTTGCCCTAATTGGCCTGGGTACAGGCTGTAGATATTATTACTGGAAGTAGGGATATGTCTCTTCACCAAATTTAGGACATCAACATGGGTATATGAATGTGTATATATATATGTATTGATAAATATATATGGGTGTAGATATTGTTACCCAACATCCTGGTAATGGTTTTTTTTGGCTTTTGGTATTCTAATCTGTATTGCCATTTTAGTTTTTGTTCTATAATTTGGTGTTTACATATGCTGAGTTTAACTAAGTTTAATCTTTTCAGAGTTATTGATAAAAAAAAGTTTAATTAAGTTTAATATTAAAAAAAAAATTGTTAGTATAGTCAACTCACTGGAGTTGATTTGAAAAATAAATTGGCACATTATGAAATCGACATCACTACTGTATGTTACCATGCTGATGTGGGTAGTGCAGGCAAYGTATACAATCACAAGTTTCCTAATAAGCATGTTGAAAAGAAAACAAAGCAGTTAGTACTAGACCAACTTGAAATTCATATAATTGTTTGACTTCTAATGTTTTGTAAATTTCACGTACCCTGTTCTTCCTTACCCTAATACCATCCATTTTCAACCAGTGTTTTAAAAACTGACCTGGACTGACTGAGTCAAGTTGGTCGATGGTTCAACCACCCAGGTCCACATAATGTTTTTTCAACATTTTTTGGGTTTTAGGTTAACCCAGATCTGAATTGTGACTGGTTCATGGGTCAAACAATCCTACGGGCTGGGTCAATGGTGGATTGAAAACACTGTTTTCAACTACAGGTATGCCTATGTTGACCTTAACTGACTTATAAACCAGGTTGGAGTACTGATCAATGCCCTTTGTGCCATGTTTGGGTTATGGTGGGTTGGTCAATCAAGTTCCTTTTAAGTGTATGATATAATATGTGACCTTGCACAAAGAAAAGTTGTAGCTGCTTGTTTCTAGGTATTTTTGGGCATATGGGTCAATTAGACAACAAAACCACCTTAAATGGTATCTCTATTGTGTATCACCATGCTTCTTTTATTTTCATGTCAGCTTTAGAGACGGTATATCCAATTTCTCAGGGTGGCTTCCCTACCCATACTGTCACAAAAAAATTATCATTTATTTTTATAATTTTTTTCTCCATCATCCATATATTGTTTTGTTATGATTTATTTAGAAGTATATATAAAAGGAATCATCTATGCAGGAATGGGGTATTGATCCTACAAATGAAAGCACCTCCACTTCTGCAACACTAAGGTACACAGATTTCTTGTTGGCAACAGCCTCTGGGAAAGTTGAAGGATTAAAAGCTCCTGGTAAAATTGCAACTCCCTTTGAGAAAACAAAAGTTGCTGCTTATACACTAGGTGCAATGACACCTTGCATGAGGCTATATGCATTTCTGGGTAAGGAGCTCCTGGCACTTCTTGATACTAATGGGAGCAGTCACCCCTACAAGAAATGGATTGACAATTATTCCTCTGAAGCTTTTGAGGTTTGTCTCATTAGTAATCATTGATCACTTGCTTTTGTGTCAYATTTTACTGATCACACATTGTGTATTTTAATTTGTATTTGTTTCTGATGTATCTGTTTGTTTATGAGTGGATTCAGGCATCGGCTCTGCAAACTGAAGAATTGCTTGATAAACTAAGTGTCTCCTTGACAGGAGAAGAGCTTGAAGTAATAGAAAAGCTTTATCATCAGGCCATGAAGCTTGAAATAGAATTTTTTTGTGCTCAACCGATCACTCAGCGAACTATAGTCCCTTTGTCCAGAATACATGATCCTGCAGAATATCAACTTATTATATTTTCTGATTTTGATCTGACTTGCACTGTTGTTGACTCCTCTGCTATTCTGGCGGAGATTGCAATACTTAGTGCACCCAAAGCTGATCAGGTTGGGCCTGAAAACATGCTTGCTTGGAAGTCATCAGCTGATCTGAGGAATACATGGGGTGTTCTTTCCAGGCAATATACTGAAGAGTATGAACAATGTATAGAGAGCATGATGCACTCTGAGAAAGGTATGATGAGTAGGTGCATTACTTAATTGATTGTTGTGTTTTGAAGTCCTACCTGCTATTTTTTTGATAAGTAAGTTCTACCTGCTATTCTATGCCCCAAAAGTCTTAATTGTCGAAAAAGAAAAAAAAATTGCTCAAACCTTGGTTGACCAGAATTGTTAAATTGGGGCTTCTGGCCATTGGAGCAGGTCTGCAAGGAAGCACCCTAGAACTGGCACCTCCATTCTTCACCTCTTTTTTGTCATCCCCCTCCCTACTCTGACAAAACCTCGCCATCCCACCTTTCTTATACATAATCTTCTCCTTATGACATCAAGAGACCACCTCTTCTTAAGGAGGCTTAGACCTCGTGCTTGGGAGGTTTATGCCTCTTATGTTCTGAACTACACTTCATGCCTCTATGCAGTGAAACACCTCACGTCATGCCTCTATGTTTTAAAAATTGATATATACTTTTCTAAGGAAGCCAACTTTGTAAAGTGGGTAACAATAGGGTTCCAAAATCTTACGGACCATGGGGATGCCACCTAATAGTAGGCCAAGGTAATTCATGGGCCACTCCAAGCTCACACACCCTAAAATCCCCACATGACTAGCAATAATTTGGGCATCTTTGTTAATCCCTACTATTACACTCTTCCCCTACTTGATTTTCAAATTAGTAACCTTCTAAAAACATTTTATTAACAAATGCACATTTGTGATGTGCATTGATAATAACCATACTAAGTAGATCCACTACTAAAGTGAATAAGAAGGATGATAATGGATTTCCCAATCTTGGGCCCCTTTTAGCAAGAAAGAGTCCTTTGCCAAACTGTTTACTTATACTGAATGGTGTCCTGACCTCAGGCATCCTCCATTCCTCCTCCATCTATCCCCAAATCTACATTGAGACATAATAATTAAACAAAATGAGGTTATTCTTGAATCTATCAGATCATTTTGGTCATTGTGTGTTTGTCCTTAACAATGCATCTAAAATTAGACAAGCATGTGCTGTGCTGTGCCGGTTTTTTAAATCGATGTTCTGGCATATGGATGCCCCTCCATGCTCTCCATCCTTTCCATGGTTCTGGCTTACAAATTTTGAATTGCTGTAATAAAAGAAATGCTAAAAGGTTACTGAGATGGTAGAGCCACTCAACTGGTAATTATATTTACACATCCAACTTCCTGTGATATTGCAGTGGAAGAATTTAACTATGATGGTCTGTGTAAAGCACTTGAACAACTCTCAGACTTTGAAAAGCGCGCAAATGCACGAGTGATTGAGTCAGGAGTGCTGAAGGGTTTGAATGTAGAAGACATAAAGCGGGCTGGTGAGCGTCTCATACTTCAAGATGGTTGTACAGGGTTCTTCCAAAAGATTGTAAAGAATGAACAACTGAAATCAGATGTGCATATACTTTCATATTGTTGGTGTGGTGATCTTATTAGGTCAACCTTTTCATCAGGTATTCTTCTTCACCATTGGAACTGTGGAGCCTAACGAACTCTACTTTGTCATTTGCTTGCTATGCTGGGCTTGTATTTTTATGTTCTTTGCCATGTAACTCTTTGTTGCAACTGTGGTTGTAAGTGCGGATTTTCTAGAACTATGTTGCTTGAAAAGCCAAAACAGAAGATGTTAATATGTTTTTTATGATTTTATATTGATACTTCATTTTGATCATTTAATATTTATTGCTATTTTATTCCCAAAACATATTGAAATATAAAACTAAGTTTTTTTATAACTTCATTTTATTGGATTGATCAATTAAAATTGAATAAAAAAATATAGTGTGAATAGGGAGAGAAGACTACAAGAGATAAAGGATTGTGCTGAATAGGGTAATCCATTGGTTAAAAACTCAGGAGTTATCCAGTCAATTTTCCTTTGATGATTTGTGGAGAAATTGGTCATCTGTGGCAAGTTGCTTTTCCAGAAAGAACAGACTACCGGTGACTTGGACACCTCCTCCTGTAGGCTATGTAAAACTATACTTTTGTGGAAGTTGTCATTGACAATCCAGGCCCGTCTGGGATAGGTGGGTCCTAAAAAATGAGGTTGGTAATATTTTATCCTTTTCTCGGGTCCKTTGGRAGCTGGAGACTCTATAAATGCTCAATTACTAGCGGCTATCCAATGAGTGCAGATTGCAAATCAGCTTTGTGTGGCGCYTCTACTTATAGAAGGAGACTCAAAAGTTGTAGCAGGGTGGTTGAAGGACTCAGAATCTGTTATCTGGTTGTTTCAAGTGACTTGCACAGATGAATGCAAGTACAAAAGTGGGCAGGACTGGCAGGTTAACAAATGCTTTGGTTGATTGTTTAGCCAAACAAGGGGTAAATAGGGGGCATTTGTAAATTGCTTTTAACTTCTGCTATTAGAAAAGACGTTCATTTATCATTTCAGGCTTACTTAGACCAATCATTTTGTTCAAAATAAAAGGTAAACAAATCATTTATTGCTTGGCTTAAACATAAACTAAACTGGTTTAATAACTAGTTTATCAATAATGTGRGCATTATGGTTAATGTTAGCCCTTTTAGCCACWGGTATGTGATACTCAACTTATTGTATTATCCACATCCCTTCCACAGGCCAAAGATCAAGAAACAGTAGTACATTCCAAATTGCTGCACTTTTTGGTTATCTGTTTCCATGATATCTGAATTCTAATTTATATATGAAAGCTGTTGTCTGAGTCCTTGGGGATATCACTACATTGGAATTCTATGATGGCCAAGCCTGATTTCCAGACTAAGCCCGTCATGTCAGCTTTGGTCTTAAGGGAAATTAAGATTACATGCTGTGCATGACAGGACCAGTGATCAGTTATGACAGATGTGGCAACTGGGCAGGTCTTGTACCTTTTATTTACCATTGCAGTATTGATGGAAAAATAATGAGGTTAATACCTTTTTTTGTCTTTTAAACCAGGTGGTCTTGATGTTATGAGCATACATGCAAATGAGTTCACTTATGAAGAGTCCATTTCCACGGGTGAAATTGTTCCGAAGATGGAGTCTCCCTTGGACAAACTACAAGCTTTTAAGGATATTCTAAAGAACCGCAATGATGATAGAAAACATTTATCTGTATACATCGGAGACTCAGTTGGGGACTTACTCTGCCTGCTTGAAGCAGATGTAGGCATTGTGGTTGGGTCCAGCTCAAGCCTAAGGAAAGTGGGGAGTCAGTTTGGTGTATCTTTTATTCCATTGTTCTCTGGTTTGGTGAAGAAGCAGAGAGAATTCATTGAAGGTGACTCTTCCAATTGGAAAGGGCTATCGGGCATTCTTTATACGGTCTCTAGTTGGGCTGAAGTACATGCCTTTATTTTAGGGTCATAGAATCATTTGTCAATAAGCCTTTTCCTCTCTCTCTCTCTCTCTCTCTCTGTAATTGTCTAGAACAAATCATGAATTCATATATAGTAGGATATGTAGATACAAGTGGTGGCTAATTTTATGAAGGGCCACTGCAAGCTGTTGTTTCTTCCTGCAAGGGCCGCTGATACAAAATGCTCAGCCTTGGTGGATATACTGATTACAGCCGGTACTTGCGCTTTTTCCATCTCTTTCTCTCTCTATCTCTGTTCATTCTATTATGTTCGTTATTAATACAATAGCTCACATTTCTTTTCTTCTGCAGGTATTGGGAAGTGCAGGCAGCAAATGTCAAGGCAAGAGGAAATGGATCAATTTCTTTGTCTAGATTTTTCATATAATTGTTTTTTTTTTGTCTTTTTCCTCTTTTGTAGAACAATTGCTACCCAGATTTATGGGCAATTGCAATTTTAGGGGTTATTTATATCGCCATGTACGTTCATTGTAATTTGTTAGGGGAATCGATCCTGGCTGTTGGTTATATTTTTCCCCAATTCCATCAGCTGCTTTTTTTCTTGAAATCTATGTAGTACACATCATCATCAAGACAACTGAGAAGAATGGGTGTACAAGGAATATCCTTGTTCTGATATTAAAGTACTAGGGTTGATTCATCAAGGTTGCTTTTATACTTCTATGTTGTCCTCAAACTTGGCTCTGTGGGGCTGGCAATTTTGACCCTAATCCACTTCGAAACCCGCCTATATCCACCCTCGTGGGTCAATTTGGGTTAAGGCCTTTAAGGGAACTCATAGGGAAAAAGGGCCAGAAACATCGGTTTTTCGTTCTCCCTCTCCATTCTAGTACAGTACTACCTAATCGAAGTAGGGATGACATAAACAGAGGAGTTGCAGTGGAGGCCGGCGGAATTGGACGATCTGGTGGGTTGGGGGGAGTATCCACTTTCAGCGATGAGCCGATGATGACTAAATAGGGAGGATTGGGGCGATGATGATGGCAAATCTCAACGGAGAGAGGAAGTSAGTTCCCTGCTTCTGTGAATGGTAGGGGACGATGATGGAGGAATGGAGGAGAGAAAGAGTTCGGCTTCAGTTCAGGCACCCTCAGTCAGGGTACTGTTCGCGCATTTGGAGGATGCATCAAATCGTGTAAACAGTTGAAGCATTCCAAGATGCTTCACGCTGTTAGTTAATCAAAACGAGACATTGTTCTATTCTCCTCTCCTCTCCTCTCCCTTGAGTGTCGCAGACGAGATATTCTCTTCTCCTTCTCTCTCTCCCCATCCACCTGGTGGCAACTTAACATCCATTACTGCCGGCGACAAACAACCATCACTAGCAGTTATGGTAGCTAAAGGGTGGATGGCTACCATCACCTGACTGAGGGTGACTGGACTGAAGCGGAACTCGTTTCTATAACCCATCTTTAGCCATCCACTTTTTAGATTTTCACTACTCGCTTGTTTCTGCAACATCTCTCCTCTCTCTACCAACTTTACAACTTTAGTAAGAGAAAAGAGATTAAAAAAAAAAGAAATCTGTAAGCTGTTTCAGTAGATGGTTATAGAAGATGAAGCTTTAAAGGTAGAATCAGTAGAATCTGATCTTGGGTGTTCTTCTTGCATCAAAGTTGCAAGTTGCAGATTGCATTCCCGGAACTCATTTTTAAAGTCCTGTATAGAGTTGTTACCCAGAAGCAAGAAGGGATTTTTTTTTTTTTTTGTATGGGTCTTGTAAAAGAAGAGCATCTGGGGAGTTTGATATCACAGAAACTTCTTTTGGACGGAATATTTGGCACTTGGATCTTATAATTTATCTAAGCAGCACTCAGGTTTGAATTCCAGTCCTTTACTGCTGTTCAAACATGGRATTTCCTTGTCTTTGTCTTTAGTGATTTTTCTTCTAACATCAGAAAACAGAACAAGAAGACTTTCTGAACATAATTTCTGCTATGTTTTATTTTTTAGTTATCTTGTTTTGTTTCTTCGTAAAGAGTCATTCAATATAGAAGACTTTCTCATCTGGGCCTGGAACTGGATGTCAGAAGTGGTAGATTCTTATTCGGGTTGTAATGTTGGTCGGAGTTTCAGATAACTGTTGCAGTTTTCAGGTTTTATTTAAATAATTGGTTGGATTTATTGGCGAAAAATTCTTGGAGTTTGAACACAGGTTTCTCATCTGGGTTTTGAAGATGGACACCCGTAAAGCAGGTTTTCTTCTCCGAACTGTAGTGTTGTTGATGGCCATTGCAGATTCATGGTTGCAGGTGTCTGGTCTGGGCTCCATGTCCTCAATCGTTGTGTCCTATGGTGAGAATGGTCCTGTTTTCTGTGGTTTGAAGTTAGATGGGTCTCATCTACGGAACTCCTCCTTGATTTCCGATCCTAGGCTTAACCGCCAGTG